TGACCCGCGGGAGTCTGAGACGCGTACCTGGATTGGATGGCCGAGCCAGCCCTGAATGGGACTCCCTTTCCTATTGGTCCGTTTCACGTGCCACTCGGAGACAGGTGGAGTTAAAGTGGACTTGGGGCTAGGGGTGGGGGAAGGTTTGCTCCTATCTCTCCCACCATGCCCTCTTCTTATCATCCTAGTTATGGGGGCCCAGTTTTAGCCAGAAGGTGAGGAAGTCCCATCTGCTTTCACCTACCAGGAAAGAAACAAGCAGTTCTCTGAAACAAGCAGTTCACTTTTTCTAATCATGTTTCTGCCTTTTTGGAAATTCCTCCTCTGGTCATCTCATCTGGACCTTCATTCTGTTAAGAATAAGGTGTGTTGCCTGCATCTACAATCCCCGATAAAAGTCAATTAGGGTCGTCAAACTAAATTCGTTCCTGTTTTCCCCTTTCACACAGCTAAGATATGTGTGTGTGTGAAACCATGCTCTTGCCTGTAAAAAGAGTGTTAGTCAAATAGCTGAACAATCCAGAGATCTATTTAATGTTTGTATTGCTCACACACAGTTGACAAAGAGAGGCTAGTGTTTTCCTTTGTATCTGTAATGCCAAGAGATGAACCTGAAATTGAAGTAATTCCATCTTTGTTGGATTTAATGAGGTATTTTAAGGCACTCCGGGTTAAATGTCCCCTTCCTCTGCTAAAATGCAAGTGTGCAAAGAATATTTGCATTGCTGTATGCACACCAGATACTCAGAAGGTACAATGAAATGAATTAAGGATATCATAATCACATACTATATCCTGAAGTCTAAAACATTCAGCTGTGAACCTAGTAGCTGGATTTATCGGGTCCTTGCAGCAGTGGTCATTAAATGTCAGATTGAATTTGATAACGTTGGTCTGAGTTGAGAGTATAGCCATAGCTAAGAGCAACGGTGCGGATGAGGAAGCAGTTTGAATCTGAATGTGGTTTGATCATTATTAGTTTGCCTTGAGAAACTGATTCCAGTTTCAAGCCTCAGATAGCCCCATGCATTAGAAAGTGGAGCATTTTCCGGTTGTCTTTGCTGATATCTTGGTAGGAGCCATCTAATTCAGCCCTAGACCCTGCCAACACTGTGTAATCTTGGGCGCTTGCCTCAACCTGTGTGAACTTCACTTCCTCACTGGCACAGGAATTTCTGCGGTAGCAACCTTTTGGGATTCTTGTGTCAGATAAGTTCAGTATAGCAAATAAAGCACTTGGCATAGTCATTGATCGTGGTATCAGTTGCGATTGTCATAATGACGACTCAGAGTGTTCCCCATTTTGAACAACAGTTAGAGTAAGAGGGAGTTCCAGGAGATTTTATGTAGCATACAGTTTAGCAGAACTTAAAATTTCTGTGTCTGGGAACTGATTCTGCATATTCTGCTGCTTCCTTACTAGGGGCACAATTGCTTAAAAAAAAAAAAAAAGCAGACTTGAGTGCTGTATAGGTGATGAGCACAGTGAAGAGAGCAGTGTGCTGGTCACCAGGAGGAAGAAAAGCTTCCTCACCCACCGCTCCTGCCTGCGTGTGGGTCAGCTCAGAGTCCCATGCAGTCTGGTCGCCTCTGTTGTAAGATTAAGTAGTCAAAAACGAAGGGAAGAAGCTGGACAGTGGTGGCACAAGCCTTTAATCCCAGCACTTGGGATGCAGAGGCAGGCGGATCTCCATGAGTTCTAGGTGAGTGAGTGCCAGGACAGCTAGGGCTTTTACACAGAGAAATCCTATCTCAAAACAAACAAACAAACAACAACAACAAAAAAAACAAAAATAAAAACCGCCATCTCCCCTGAAAACAAACAAACAAACAAAAAATCAAGAAACAACAACAAAACAAAAACAAAACTAAGGGACGAAACAATTCCTATTGGCACCAGACTGCTGTCATCTCTCTCATTATTTCCCTTATCAACTGTAGTTGAAATCTTATGTCAAAGCCTAAATGATAAGGGTCATTTGTTTCCTTGTAGAACAAGAACCAGAAAGAAGGTGCATTTCAGAAATCACTGACTCTGCAGCTTAGTGAGGGAGACATTACTCATGCACACCGCTCTTTCTTTCTACCTGGAAATTGATTGGCATCTGGTTCCTTTCATGCAGGTATGATAGGATCTGACTTTTTTTCCTGCTCCCTGGGTAATGTACAGGACTTCTTTGGGGTTTGGTCTCTTAGTAGCACCACCTCTGTTTCAGTCAGAGTAGTTGCTGTCTCAGCTGTGAGCAAGTGAAAACAAAAACAGGTACCCACCAGTCTCTCCATCTACACCTTAAGCCAAGCACTGGGCAGGAGCTGTTTTTCCCAAACTTCTTTATTCCTTATTAGGTTTGAGATGGAGTGGTTGCTGGAAAGTGCATTAAAGTGTCCTAGATATGTAAAGGTAAAAGAATGTGACATTAAAGCTGATCTTCTAATGTAATTTTTGACTTAAATATTGTTTTACTTAGGTAGACAAAAGAACAACATTCACTTAAATAAGTCTTTCATCTCAGCTTTTTGAAAAGAGCACCTTCATGTTGTGGGATATACTTTAAGATGTGTTACATTTGTTTATGCAGAGGAATATTTGTTCAATGATAGAAAGATGTGTTTCACTCTTTTATGTTGCATTTTTAACTCTGCAAAGCTGTGTTACTTTGCCTGTCTAAAACACCTGATTGGTCTAATAAAGAGCTGCATGGCCAATAGCCAGGCAGGAGAGGGATAGGCAGAGCTGCCAGGCAGAGAGAATAAATAGAGGAGTGAAAAAAGGAGAAGAGGATGCCAGGGGCCAGCCACGGAGTGAGAAGGAAAGAAAGAGATATAGAATAAAGAAAGGTAAAAGCCCAGTGGCAAAAGATAGATGGGATAATTTAAGAAAAGCTGTAAGAAATAAGCCAAGATAAGGTCAGGCATTCATAAGAAAGAATAAGACTCTGTGTATTTCTTTGGGAGCTGGGTGGTGGATCCCCCAAAGAGTAAAAAGAGTTAAAATGAAAACAATACCTTTAAAATCATTTTGTGTTAGAGACTACAAGGAAGAAATAATCTAAACTTATTCACAAATGAATGATGTGCCCTAGAAAGAACTGGCCAGGCTGAATTCACACAGACTAAAGTACTTGTCTCCACAGGCAATGTCAGATTTGAAAGCAGTGTGTCAAAGGTTGTTTTCTTTTCTTCCATGAACTAAGTTCAAGGTTTCCCATCTGTTCATTACCTCAAAATATTAAAATAATCTTATTCTGTTTTCAAAGCTTAGGGTATATCTCTTTATGCATACAAAAAACTGATGCCTAACTTACTGTTGGCAGAAGTTAGGTCAGAAGTTACAGGAAAATGGTTTCAGAACAAAAGCCACACCCTGGCCAAAACAAAACAACCCCTGCTCACTGCTCTAATAAGACAGTCACAAAACACAAAAGAGTGAATCAACTCTTTGGGAGAGTGGTTTAAAGTGCAGATTCTGATGTATACTAGCTGTTTATGTTAAGAAACATAGTGTATGTTTTATTGTAGCTATAAGACATAAAACTTATGAAACATAGCTCCATGGTGATTTTGAGAGTTCAGTGAATGAAATCATCCACCTACCTTGCTTTAAGTAATATTACATTTGAGTGATCTCAGTTGGGAGTGATAGAGTTTCTCCCACATTGAAATGCTCTTTAAAATGATTTTATCATCTACTGTGACATTTCTTCATCCTAAGAGATATCTCCCCAAGTATTTAATAAAAATGAAAGAAAGAGAACAATTCTTTGGAGGCTTTCTTATATGGAGTGTAATGTGCTCACCCCCCTACCCTCAAAGAAATGAAGATGAGTAACATTTATTCCCTGCCCTCATGGGGTCTCTAATCGAAAAGGGTGAACAAAAAAGGTATTATTCGGTGTTTTGCCTGCCCCTCAATCTTTTCTCCTTTCTCTTGTGGTTAGTAGAGACTGCCCACTTTCTTTCTAAAGGATTTATGTGTGTTATTTTTAGTAATGTGAATGTGAGAATCTGTGTGTGGCTATGTGTAAGTGAGGACGGGAGCCTGAGGAAGTCAGAGGCCTCAGATCCCCTGGAGCTGGTGTTTCAGGCAGTTGTAACCTACCTTTGTGGGTGGGAACCTACCTCAGGTCCCCTGAATGAGCAGCACACACTCTTCACCACAGAGCCATCTCTCCAGTGCCCCCTGCCGCCATCATTCTTAGTCTGTGAGAGCTCAGTGAGCTAGCTGTAGTACTTCCTTTTCCCCAGCATGGACTCCTAAAGTGCCAGCTGTCTTGGTTTACAGTAAATTGAGGACTTTCCTGGGGATTTTTTAAATATAAAATCAGAAGAGTAATAAACAAATTGGAGTGAGTTAGTCAAAACTGAGCCTAGCCTGGCCTGTTGGAGCAATTCCACCTCACTACCCAAAAGAATTCGTTCAGTCATGGGGACTTGCTCCAAGTCAGTCCAGAACAACACAATCTCTAAACATTTGTTGAAATAATTAGAAATTTCACCACAATTGCTACATTGGAAGGCTGTAAGCCTGGAGCTCATCCTGGTCAACCTTGTCACGGGAAAGGGTCTACTGGGGTATAAGCCAAGGCAGAAGAAAACAGAGCCAAGAGTTGGAGCCCAACACTTGAGGACAATGGCTATTCATATCCAAGTTCCCTCGCAACTTCATTCTGAAAGCATTGTGCATGCCTTGGTCAATTATTTATTATTATTATTATGGTTATTGTTGTTTGTGTGCCTGTGGGGGGGCCATATGGGTGTGTCACAGCACATGTCCTTACTTTACACACTCTGTTGTTGTGCTGTGTACACCAGGCTATCTGGCCCATGAGCTTCTATGGGATCACATGTGTCTGCCTCCATCTCACCATAGAAGCCTGTGTAGTACAGGTCCTCTAGGTAGTTCCCAGATTATTTGGGGTTTAAACTCGGGTCATTGGTGCAACTAATGTTT